AAAAAGATGGCAAAAGGATACCCCTATATACAACATAATAACCTGAGAATCGGCCATAAAAGCATGTAACATTCACAACAGCAAAGATTTTGAGCAGCAGCTGTTAGAAAAGTGGCTCTAGACAGAAGGACCCCACAAAACAGAGCTGCCATCTTTCCTTCCCCCCCCCCACTAGAGGCCATAGATTTGCAGGATCATCTCTGGGTCTCCAGAGAAGTGCCCTTTGCTAGGCTGCCTTTGCTCATGTCCCCATTCCAAGGAAAAAAACAGTCAGTCAGAACATCTCCATTTTCTCCAGCAGCAGCAGCTGCCTCCTCGCACCAGATCCAGCAGCACCGTGCCTCCCAGCCCAGCAAGTTGTAGGAGTTATTCCAGCCGACTTCCTGGCTGGAGTGAGGGTAACCTCCCCCAAAATCCCCGCTCTAGTGAGCGGATAACCCTCCCTTGCTACTCGTCCACTCTTTATCAGATACAGTTAAGCACGGAGGAGAATGACTAAACACTTCCAGGGAAAAACGATGACAGGGAAGAAGAAAGAACTGAACACTTCTTCCAGGGAGAAGGAAAGATCTGGGGCTGTTTTCATTTTTTCCCCACTCCATTTCTCTCTCTCATGTAAGAAGAAAGTAAAGTGAGAAGTGCTGTAAATAAGCATGCATATACATACTTTTATATGCTAATGTGTCTAACTCCACTGCCTGACAGCCTGAGATAGTGAAAGTGCAAGTCACCGAACAAAGAGCTGCGTGGAAGGCAGCACAGAAAATGCTGCTGAAGAAAAGGGAAACTGCTTAAAGCGTTTCTTTTTAAGAGGCTGAATTCCTTGGTCAAAACGGCAGCAAGAAGACAAAAACTAGCATTCCACACCAGGGGTAAAGTGCAGGAAATACAAGAATAGCAGACAGCAGGAGAGTATCTGTTCAAGAGACGGCATATGCAAAGGTGAGTAATGCCTAATTCCTTGGGTCGCTTTCAAATGGCAGCGCTAGTGAAACCCAGAGAAGTGGAAATGGTGTTTGGCAAAAATAGCCCACTTGAAGGTGAATGAGTGCAGAGCCTATCGACGCATGGGGCTGTTAGCAAACAAAACTATGCTTAGTGGCTATTAGGGGTGTTGCGGGCAATGTTCCATTCACTCCAAAACCAGAAATAATGGAACAAAGTGAATGGAAAGGCCGATGTTTGCCTTCTGCAAAACTACTAACGCTGCCTCCAGTGCTGCAGCCTGCTTCACTGGGGGTTCTCCTACACCTCCTGGAGATACCAAAAAGAGATGTTTACCTATGCTTCATCTGACATACACTCCTGCAAGAATTTTTTATGCGCTTCCAAGAATTACTATTTTCCCAGTACCACTTAATTTTTTATCATGTTACCACAAAACATTCAAGTGCCTCTGAAAGTGTATATTCTATATTTGGGTGGTTGCCATTTCAAAGAGAATTTTCTACAAAATAAAGGTTTAAAGCTTATGTTAAAAATGAACTCTCAAACATAACTTGAAGCAAGTTGCAGCAAACACTGTGCTATCATACCATCTGTGTTCATGTACAGCTCCCAAGCTCTCCTCCTATTGCTTCCCAAGGCAATAATGATAAAAAATAAAAACAGATACAATGGAGAAGCACTGTGTATTGGAATACACAACAAACCTGAGCTTTACCACACTTGTTACAAAAATGAACTCCTCTGTATCTGCATATTGCAACGAAGTATCCCCAGGGAGATTAAAAATGAAGGTTATATTCTCCTTCATGCTCAGCAATCTCCTCACCTGTCCCAGACAGCAAATTCTTGTGAGCCCTGCTCTACTCAATACCATTCTGAACATTGCTTTTTTCAGCTCCTTTCTCAAACATCCCAGAAATGTTCCAAGTGAAAGTGAGTGAAATTCTTTAAATGTTGGAGTAGATGGAGCACACCAGAACGGTTGAGAAAGGGGGGGGCTGGGGCGGGGGGGGCGCAGCAAACAAACAAAAAAACACCCCAGTGTTAAATCAGCATCTAAGATAACAGACGTTGCTGTAACAAACCTCAGAGTGTATCTTAGGCCGCAAGAAAGGGCAGTAAGAAGCCACAAGCCAGTGCTATAGGTAAAACTTCACTGTATAAACGTAACAGCTCTTTATATTGCACAGTTTTAAAGGTAAGTGAAAGTCCTACTCTTAAGAAATCAACTGCGTAAAGCAGAGCTTAATATAGAGCCTTATCTGACATTTAGCCAAAACGCAGGACTGTTGTTTTTAAGATTCAGAAATAAAATCCCCATCCTGGCCACTTGGTCATACTTTCGGTCTGCAGAACTCCACCGGTACAGAGGGAAAGGAACGGAGTGCCAACCGCAGGCAGGGAACCCGCACACACTGTGCTCTAGTAGTGCTCCAGCCCAGCCCTGTCCAGTTACTTGTCGAGAACACAAGCATGCTCACAACTTCCTCTTGCTTTCCGAGAATCACCTCGCTCCTCCTATGCTATTCCCACACGCTGCCCTACCAAGACATTTTGAGGACTCTGCCTACACAATCACACGTCTGTCCCGCACCGGTTGTTGCCGTGACCAGTGAAACGCACGCCTGTGAGCCAGGCAGGGGCAGCGGGGAGAGCCGTGGCTGCCGTTTTCCAGTCCCTGCTCCACAGCTGAGATGCGGCACTCGCCCACGTGACCGCCGTGTGAGGTTCCGTGTCAGCTCTTGCACTGAGAAGGAGTAGGGTGGAGTGCTCGCTGGAATCTCCATAAATATGGGAGCCTGGAGGGAGTCCACGAGAGGGAATCTCCCTCTTCCAGCAGAGATGGTTCGGCTCCGTGGCGGCTTCAGTGCGGATCTCTAAGGGGAAACCTCCCCGACCCCCGCAGACGGGGAGGCTCTCCCCGCAGCCCCGCGGCCTGCCGGCCTCGCACCCCGTGCCGCTCCCTGTACAGCCACCTCTCCGAGCCGTGGCCGGAGCGCGGCGTTACTGCTAGCGGTGTGTGCGGCACGGCTCGTCCCGCAGCCCCGAGGGAAGGCGGTGAGGGCCGAGGGCACTGCGCTCAGGACGAAGCAGCCGAGCGAACGCGGACTTCCAGCACCTCGATAAAAAATAAAAAAGCGTTTCCAGCACGGGCAGCGTTCAGCATTCCGACACCCCTCCTCCTCTCCATCCACCTCCTCTCCGCAGGCCCCAGGGCAGCCCAGCCCGGCGGGATCTGCCCCTCCGCTCCGGGCACGGCAGGGCCGCGGCGAGCGCGTTGCGACTTCGCGACTCGCGCAAAACTCGGGCCGGGTGGGAAACACAAAGGCGGCACAGAGAGGGAAGGAAACGTGGGGCTCGGAGGGGAGGGGGGAACGCCCACACACGCGCCGCAGCCCCGGGGACAGCTCCGGGCCGGGCGGCTCTCCCCGCGCTGGCGGAGTGACGGCGGCCGGGGCTGAGGGGCGGGGCGCGGACCCGCGGCAGGGGAAGCGGCGGGGGGCGGCGGGGGGCGGCGGGGGGCGGCGGGGGATGGGAGACGCGCGTTCCCGCGGGCGGGGCCGCGGCGGGCCCGGGCTCGGGCTCGGCCTCCGCCCTGAGCGCCGTGAGCCGGGGGAGGCGCGGGCTCGTGCTCGCGCCCTCGCCGTTGCCATGGCGCCGCTTGACGTCACGGGCGGTGCGCTGCCCGTGCGGTAGCGGCGCGGTGATTGGCGGAGACGCCGTGTGTGGCGCTGGGAAAGAGGCTGCAGCGCAGCGAGCCGCGAGATAGGCACAGTCCGCGCCGGCCGCCCGCTCCGAGACACCGCGCCTCGCTCCCGCCTCGCGTAGGTAACGGGGCCCGCGTCCGCCCGCCGCTCCGATACCCGGGCCGAGGCGAGGCTGCCGACAGGCCGGCAGCGCCGAGCCCCTGCCCTTCCTTTCGGGCGGCTCCCAGCGGGGAGGGAGCGGGGCGGGGGGGCTCGCGGCGAGGGGCGGCGGCGGCAGGTGAGGGTGGCCGGGGCGACGCGGAGGGGAGACGACCGGCTCGGTTCGGAGGGGCGGGGGCCGCGGGGTGTGGCTGCGGAGCAGCGCGGGGGCCTTCAGCGGGGCCCCGGGGGGTACAGCTCGCGCCCCCCCCCCCCCCCCCCCCCCGCCTCCCTTCCCGTCGCCGCTCCGGAGCCGGGCCCGCGGTTCACCCCGCGCTCGGGACGGGAAGGCGGCATCCTCCTCCTGCCGCTGCTCCGCCGCCCCCGGCGCTGGGCGGAGGTGAGCGGGATTAAGGCGCACGGAGGTGGGCAGGGCTGCGGCGCCCGGCCGCCATGACAAAGGCGCGGGCGCGGCGCTCGGCGGCGGGCGGATGCGGCGGGCGCGGCGCGGGGAGGGGAGACGAGAGAAGAGGAGAGGAGGGGCCGCCCTGAGGCGGGGGCCGCCCGCCGCCCTCCGCCCTCCCCGCCGCCCGCGGCTCCATCTTACGGCGGCGCGCGGCTCTCCCGCAGCCCCGGCGCTCGGCGGCGGGCCGCCCGCGGCAGCGCGGGCCTCGGCGCTCCTTAAAATGGCTCCTGAGCGCTGGGCGGGTCGCCGAGAGGCGCTCCGGGCTCCCGCCCCGCTGCTGGGGAAGGGGCTGCCGGAAGCGCCGGGTGACCGAACGGCTGAAACGCGCTCGGTTTTTGCCGTCTGTGGGAAGTAGCGCGGCCGTTGGCCGTGGTTTCTTGGTGTAAAAATGACAAAAGGCTACCGGGTAAGGTGCGGGGTTTTGTGTTGTGTGTGGGAAAGCATGAAGCATCCTGACCGAACTGAGGTGAGCTTTGAAGGATGATAGATCCCGAAACATGTTGCCAGGGCCTCGGAGGGGACTGTGCCAGGTACATAAAAGGGGGCGGGGGCGCAGGGAAGGACCGTTCTCCCTGCCCCCTTAACCAGGCACCGGGGTCTCTACGAGCAGACCAAGCCTTGACTGGATCTGGGTTACGAAGCATCCCCACCAGCTCGTGCTAGTAAAATACTGACATCGACGTAATATTTCTTCCTAACTGCAAAAACTTCTTTTTGTCTCTGAAAAATATCTGGGTCAGAAGGCCAGCATAGCCCAGCTAGAGAAGGGAGGCTCACACTGCTGGAGGTGCGGTCCTTCGCGCTTAGGGATCTGCGCTACTCTGACTTGAGAGCATTGGATGTGGGGTTTGATTGGCAGATCCCTCTTCCAGTCCTTTCTGGATGGAGTGGTAAGATTCTGTTAAGGAACAGAGCTGCGTGGTACTGCTTGCCTAGCCGCCTTTTTGTCCTTGTGACAAAGATACCATTGGCTGTTTTCTTTATCAATTTAGTTGCATTCATAATTAGGTGCAGTTGATGCCACAGCTTGAATGCGTTCTTAAGAGAGAGTGATGGCAAAGAACTGGGATCGTGTGCGCACTTAAGATAGGAATTATTTGCTTTCAGTTTCTTTAGATGCTTTTGCTTGCATTTCAGAAATAACTTAAACCATTTAACAATTCTTTTTTTTAGAAAGAAGCAATGACTTTAAGTTTTCTGTTTGTGTGTTTGAGTGCTTATGTGCCTTGCATTCCAGATTTCAGCTGTACTTCTTATAATTCCAGGCTACTTAGAGGATGGCTGCTCTGCATGAGAAGTTGAAACATTTTTGTCCTTAACCAATGTCTTAATAATGCCTCACTATTTTTCCTCTTTAGAAATATCAGCATGGATAAAAATGAGCTAGTGCAAAAGGCCAAACTGGCTGAGCAGGCTGAAAGATATGATGACATGGCGAGTTGCATGAAGTCTGTGACCGAGCAAGGAGCCGAGCTGTCCAACGAAGAGAGGAATCTTCTCTCTGTTGCCTATAAAAATGTTGTAGGAGCCCGTAGGTCATCTTGGAGAGTCGTCTCAAGTATCGAACAAAAGACGGAAGGCGCTGAGAAAAAACAGCAGATGGCTCGAGAATACAGAGAGAAAATTGAGACTGAGCTAAGAGACATCTGCAATGATGTGCTGGTGAGAAATAATGAAACTGTTGATCTGTTTTAACTTAGAGTTGCAGGGTGAGCGGCCCTGGGTCCTGTTAAGGCTGCCTCTATCTGGCCTTTAATTAAAGCTGTGGTGTCCTACAGCATTTCTGAAGGACAAGATTTGGAAACTGTCTAACTCTTCTTTTTCTCTAATATATCAATTCTTTTATATTAGCACTAGTAACTGTATTTCCATGTATTTGGAGACATTTTGAAATCTTGTGTTAACTTCTCGTAACTATTCCCTTATATGCAGTATTTATTTGAGTCTGAAGCGGGTAAGGTTTGGTTTGGGGTTTTCTCCTCCAGCCCTCCACCACACAGTATGTGTGTCCCAGATCACACTGATTTCTGTGACTTTAAGATGCTGCACTGGTTGTAAGAGGTAGTTCTTACTCTACGGAAATTGTGCCCCTCCCTGGGTAAGATGATGTAATGTTAGTTATGACTCAGCCATGCAGAAAGCTGTCTGCAGGAAGAGGCAGTAGCAATGCTATGATAGCCTCTTAAACTTTAGGCTTTCAGAAGTAGACAAAAAAGGGGGATTCAAAGTTAAGCATTTTCTGTGACTTGTAGTTATGTTCAAGTCTACATGAACTATTGCTTGGTAGATACATTTTTTTCAGTGGCAAATGGTTTCATAAAGTCTGAACCTCTTTCAGATGCCTGTGCCCCATTGTCTGTTTTTCCGACTGTCGGTACCAGCAGTGCTCCAACGAGCACATGAGCAGAGGGCATCCTATCCTGCTGCCAGCTGTGAGGTAGCTGTTGCTGTCAGCTGGATGTGTACCCTCCTGGTGTGTCATCCTATCTGACAGGGTCACATACCTGGATGTGACAGTGGTGTGTGATAGGAGGGAAATCTCAAGTAGCTGAGCATGTGCTTGAAGACCTGATGTCAAAGTAGAAGTTCCATCAATGGGTAGCATAAATTTCATACGTTGTATAGGATAACTAAATGCCATTGGGTGCTGATTGCCTCTAGAAGGCTGGTTCTCCAAGGGTGTGTGGAAGTCAGCTTGGGTAACTTTTGAGCCTTGGCTTCCAGCTTAGGTTGCCTTCCACGGTTCTGGTAATGCAGCCTGTATGGAGGTTTCCTTATTTTGTGAGAATAACTTCCTCTGTGAAAATGGAAGTGCCAAATTTGTATGCAGAGGAAGAAGCTGGCTTAACGCTTATGTGAGGTGGTAGCTCATCTGTTGAAGTCTGGAAAATAGAGATTTTTAATCTGATGTTGTAAATTCCTTATTTCTTTTCAATTTTTATTAATTTATTTTATTAATGAAGGCGGGTGCTTCAGAATGATCTGAGTTTCTTTTGTAAACTACACTTGTGTTGAAGGAATAATTTCAATTACGCCGTTGGGCTTAGAAACCCTTCTTAGCAGAGCTTAAAGTGTTTGCAGTTAGATTTTTTTTTTTTTTCTGATAATGGAAACCAGATGAAGGCAAAACTAGCTTGCTTTTATTGTGTGTGCTAAACAAGACTAAAACAAAAGAAATCCTAGTTGTTGACTCCGCTGCAGTAGCTGACTTATCTGGGAGAGGGGAATGCAGGAGGGGAATCTTGTTTAAATCTGTTCCATCTTAAAAAGACTTGTGTGTGTGTGTGTGTGTGTGTGTGTGTGTGTGTGTGTTTAACCAGAGAAGTGTAAAGCATTCAAAGACATGAATATTCTTTGACTGTTACTACTAGGCAGCTAACGTCTTACTCATTTTCAGTGTTGCCAGTCCAGTTTTTCTTAATAGAAGAAGGGAAAATTGCTGTCCAGATGAAGCAGTGCCTCAGGCAGTGATTTATAGTAACTAAATCTAAATGGAAAGAGTAATTTTAAAATGTGGGGGGGAGGAGTGAAATGTGATATTCAAGTGATACGACTTTAAAAATGCTTACAAACAGCATGCACTAAATTTGAGAATTGCAGTCATGGATTAGGTTATATGCTAAAATGTTTGTTAGTTGAATTGTCCCGTTCACATATGTTCTTACTTGCCTAGAAATGTGACTGACTGTATTCCTTTACTTGAAATCCACTTTACTTTACTGGAGGGGCAAAAAAAGTAGTAAAGTAGTTTGGCTTTTTTTTTTTTCCATGACCAGGAGTCTGCGTGTTGCCTTATGCAAAGGAAGGACTAGGATTTTTTTTTTTTCCTTTTTAGAAGATTCTCTAACTTTTGCATCGTGTAGCCTGGTGCATAACAGCTCACAGGAGTGAAGAGTAATGCTTAGCAAATCATGGTTTTTGTTAAGTATGCCATTAACGTAACCAGGAGTGTTGAATTTCCAGAGTTTTCTATCAGGAAGCCTGTCCGTTTCAGTACAAGTGCAGCTTGAATACTTTTGTATCCTTTATTAAGACTATGTATCTGTTTGAGTCTTTGTCTTCAATCGCTCATTGGGTTCTTAAGTAACATTTAATGCCCTGGAGTGTTACATCATGGCTGAGCATGGAAGTGACTGCTGTTCGAACTTCTGTGTTGAGGGGAGGAAAACAACTAAGGGACTGTGACTAGTGAGATGCAGCCAGGGCTGGCTCCTCTGCGGCTCCTCACTCTTCCCTCATTTGTTGGAATCAAACTCCAGTGGGTTGGAAGAAAAAGCCCTTCTAACCCACTTGGTGCAGAGTATGTACCAAACTGTGTCTGGGTTCTGTTTCCAGCTCTGCCACTAATTTAGGGGGTGAATAAGAGTGGTTAATGATGGACTTTTTTCTTGGTTTGTAGCGACGAGATGGAGTGATTTTAAATATATATATATATATATATATATATATATATACATAAAAATACACACAGGCAGTTACATGAGTTGATCCAGCTGTTTTTCTTTATGCTGACCTTGCTATGAAAAGTCAGCATCTGTGTCTTTATCTCCTAAATGTTCCTTTCCTTGAGCTTTACATGGAGACCCCTTACAGCTCTCTAAGCAGGTGAACTCATCCTCCTGCCTGCTGCTGCAGAGGCATCAAAACTCTTGATCCAGCACCAATTCTGTCAGATGTGTGCTGTAGTATATTTGGGCATATTATAACCAACTCCAGTGTTTCAGTTGGCTTGGTAGCACTGATAAACTGCAAGTAATTGTGATCTTGTGTGTAATGAAGAATGAATTTCCAAATACTTCAAGAATAGTGGGGGAAAGACATCTACAGATGATGCTTGAGCATGGCAATGCACAATATATTTACTTGAGTATTACAGAGAATTTCCAGCCTCAGTAATTTCATATTGATACAGGAAATTAAACTCCTAGTTAAGTAATTTTCCTCATGTTAGCAAAGTGTGTGCTTCGCATCCCATTTCACTTTTTGCAGTAGAAAGTATGTCTGAAATATGCCTGTGTAATAACCTCTTATTTGTCATTTCCATATTAAAAAAACAAAACAAAAAAAAAAAACAAACCAAAAACCAAACAAACCAGATATTAATCAACAGGTGTGGATTTTCTTCAAAATGCTTTTTTGCCATTAGTGGGAATCAACTGTAGCTGAAGTGATTTGCATTGCATTTACATTAAGGTGAGTTTTCCAGCTGATGAGGATTCTGAAATACAGAGTATGTGTAGAGAGGTCTTTGCATGGCTGGTGTTTGATATTTCTTACTGCTTGCATGTTGGTTTTCAGGAGATCTGAAATACTATAGGCTTTCATGCAGCTTCTGATATGAGTTAAATGTAAATGAAAAAGTTTAAAACAGCATTTTTGGTTACTATGAATGCAGTTCTAAATGGCTGCCTTCTACTGCTGTATGTGCCAGCCTACAGAACAGTCCTTTGCATTTCTTCCAAAATGTCTGGTGTGATTTGTCTTGTTTGTCCCCTGTGCCCAGTCTTCTGGGTGATCTCTCTTCCTCCCCAAAGTTCCCTACAGTTTCATCTGAAGTGGATCTTTGCTCACTGTGAGCAGCTGCTCTTTCACTGTTTCTTTTCTGTTTGGGTCCTTCCTCTTACTGTCTGAAGTGCCTTCCTGAAACTGTCCCCATAGGTGGTACATGACATCCCCCCTCCCTGCCAGAGAAGCTTAAGGATAATTGTGCTGTTCAGGACCCTCTGAATAAGATGCTTTTGTCGCCAGGTTATTATTTCATAGACCCTTTTGAGTTGGAAGGGACCCTTGAGGGTCATCTAGTCCAACCCCTGCAGTGAACAGGGACACCTACAGCTAGAGCAGGTGCTCAGAGCCCCTAACAGTCTGACCTTGAATGTCTCTGGAGATGAGGCATCCACCTCCTCTCTGGGCAGCCTGTTCCAGTTCCTCACTACTCTTACTGTAATAATAATAATAATAAACCCTTCTTTCTTATATCCAGTCTAAATCTTCCTTCTTTTAATTTGAAACCATTTCTCCTTGTCCTTCTTCCTAACATCATGTCCTAAAGCATAAAATGGTGCTCCTTGTGTGCCTATTTAGATTTCTTTATGTTTTCTAAATGGAGATCCATAAAGGTGGTTATTTTTGTGAGAAGAGAAAGTGAAGTTAAATCTCGACTAAATTACTTCAGTTGTGCAATTCTTTCACATGTATTTTTTTTTTCCAGGGTAGTAGGAGGAAGGCTTAAGTAAGTAGTTTATGGGACAGCAGTTCACTGGGGGCTGAGAGCAAAATTCCATTCGGAATGCATCCAAATGGCTTCTTAAAGAACATAGCACAGAATTAATGCTTGTTGCTGTTGTAATAACAAATTCCTCAGAGACTATTTTCTAAATGCTTGCAAACACCTGGTATGTTACTGTTTTAACATCTGTAAAGCCTCCTCCTGTGTGGAATGTCCTCCCTCCTGCAGACAGCCACATGCTTTTTGATGCTTGCAGACAATTGTGTACATGTGGGCCATTCCTAAAGCTCGCTCCTGATGGTCAGGGAGTGTGGCTAGCCTACAGAGTGGTGGTAACAAGCAGAGGGGTAGAATGATTGTATTACACAAACTCCAGATGCTTTCATGGCATTTTTTGTTAGCGCCTCTGCGATATTGTCTAAACTAATACATT